GCTAACATTTATTGAGCACTTTCTCTGTGTCGAGGTAGGGTTCAAATCTTTGTCTATTCTAAAAGCCAAACATTCTTTCCACTTTACCATGCTTCTCCCTTGCTAAAACAGTAGATCTTATTAATAAGAAACCCCCCTCCCCAATCCAAAACTGTTCCTCTTGGTATCATACTGGGAACAGCTATTAAACTGGTCCATGTCATCAGGTGAGACTTAATGTCTCATCTAAGATAATGTGTCAAAGCCACAGCCATCAGCCTGGCACCCATTCTGCAGTATTCCAATTGGCTCTGACCATAGAATGAGGCTCTGCCAAAAATGAGTTTAGGAAAATAATAGCAAAAACTCTTTTTAGCATTTTTTTAGCATCTGAGGATGCTAAAAGACCAAAAAAAAAATTTTTTTTTAAAGATTTTATTTATTTATTTGAGAGAGAGAGAATGAGAGAGAGCACATGAGAGGGGTTAGGGTCAGAGGGAGAAGCAGACTCCTTGCCAAGCAGGGAGCCCGATGCGGGACTCGATCCAGGGACTCCAGGATCATGACCTGAGCCGAAGGCAGTCGCTTAACCAACTGAGCCACCCAGGCACCCTAAAAGACCAAAATTTTAATAGGTGAATGATTCCAGCCTCGCTTACTTCTATAAATGAACAAAATGATAGGGTTGATTTAAGATTTATTATTTTTATTTTTTTTGTTACTCTTGAAGCTACCCTACATGTACTATGAAATGTGCATAGTTTGTTTTTTACTTTTTTAAAGATTTTATTTATTTATTTGAGAGAGAGATAGCGACAGAGATAGGGAGAGAGAGCACAAGTAGGGAGGAGAGAGACAGAAGCAGGTTCCCCACTGAGCAGACAGCCCAACTCAGGACTCGATCCCAGGACCCTGGGATCATGACCTGAGCCGAAGGCAGACGCTTATCTGACTGAGTCACCCAGGCGCCCCCGAAATGTGCATGACTTAAAAGTAAATCGAATTTGTCAGCTGCTAGTAGGTATTGAAATTATTTTAAACTTTTGAAGAAAATAAGACCTCTTCAAATTATTGGATATGTTTTGTTACCATCAAGAGCAAAAGTTAAATAATCTTATTTCTCTAGAATTTTATATGAGATGGCAGAGCTTTGGAATGAATATTTTTAGACACTGCAGTTCTTTAACATTTCTGTACAGACTATTTTTGGAACTAGGTCTCCCTTTACAAGCACAATCTTAATATGGACATCAAGAAAAATTACTACTTCCATCTATAATTAGCTAGTGGTACTTGAGGATAAATTACAAAATTTTAAAAATAAGTAAAATAATCAAAGGTAAAACATAATCACCAACAAAGAAAGGAACCATATTGATCATCTTCATCACAAGGCCTTCGTTTCGCTAGGCTTTCTTTCACTTTCCTTTTACTTAGTTCTTGCAATATTCTTTATAATCATTATTATTAAAGAAGTTCCTCATTCAACAAACAGCCTGAGAGAGGTTAAATAACTGGCCCCAAAGTCACTCAGCTAATAAATGACAGAAGAGAGACAGGATTCAAACCCAGGATGACCCTGAACTTCAAGACGCTTAGGATGTATAAGGAAGAATAAGACCAAATAAATAATCCAAATAAACGTAATCCAAATAAATCGCTTTCTCCTGATTGTGACCAAAGTTGCCCAAGTAAGTAAAACTCACACCTTCCTACCATTTTTAACACTTGCTCCCAATTTAGAAAACTGGATACAGGGATGTTAATATACAGAATATCTCCCACACAGAATATCTATCATTCTGATAAATGATTTGGTGCTGGAAGAAGTCGTGGGTAATTTTTAAATCTCAAATAAAAGGTCTCAACATGGTAAGTTTTGAAGGAATCAGGCAACATCTACACTACAGGAGACAATACAGACAAGCAGACACAAGCATGTAGTTCCCTCCCACTTAGAACACGCACCTGCCTTTGTTTTGCTCCCAGCTTTGGGGACAGACACTTCTGGCTAAGATCATGGTCTGGTGCTAAGGTGAGACACATTACAGGTCTTTCATGATCTGGCCCCTGCCAACTTCTCCAGCTTCATCTCTCACTGTTCCTGGCTTGTCCTTCACCCTCTAACAACTGCAAACCCCATGTGGCTCTTCCATATCTACCTCTTTTACTCCCATTATCCCCAAGTCTGGGAAACCCCTCCCCCATCCTCATCACCCATTTAATGCCTATGTGTCCTTTAAGTGCCCACCTTTCAGCACCTTTTGACACTGACCTTGGTGCCTACCTGGAACATTTTTTGCCTGATTTGTGAGACATCCCATCCTCATGGTTCCCTCAAATCACTCCCTACCACTCCTTTTCAGTTTCTTGTGCCAGATCCACCTTCTCCGTCCTACCTCTAAATGTTGGAATTGCCCAGATCCCTGAGCTGGGTCTGTTCTCTCTTCTAATATAGTATTAAGGGTTCAGGCTTTAGGACCTGACTGTTTGGGTTCTGTTGTTTACTAGCTCTGAGGCTTTCTTGTGCCTCATCGACAGTGAGAGTAATAATAATGCCTACTAAATGGAGGTATCATAAGGATTAAATCTGTTAATATATGTATTCAGGACAGTGCTTAGCACATAGAAGGCAGTAAATAAGTAGCAGGTATCTTCATTAATATTATTATTAGAAATCACCACTGTTATTTTTATATTTACACTGTATTCCACCCATCCTCATGAGTTTAAATACCAATTTTTTCCCAAATTTCTATCTCTAGTCCAGATCTTTCCATTGAACTCCAGATCCACAGACCCATATAACTACCTAAGATTTCTATTTGGATGTCTCATAGGCATCTTAAATTTAACAAGCCTGAAATAGATGTCTTTGTTTCCACATGCCTTCACATCTGTCCTTCCTGCAGTATCTCCATTTCAGTAACAGACAGGCATCTCCACCCAGCTCGTTAGCTGCTCTTGGGAGAAAACTCATACTCTCCTACACTCTTATATCAAATCCATCATTAAGTCTTACCTCTAACATACAGCTAACTTCATCCTATCTCTCTTCACCTCCACTGCCAACACCCAAGTCCTAGCACCATCATTTCTTACCCTGATGCTGGAAATAGCTCTCTATCAAGCTCTCTCCCGAATTCCCAATTCAACAGCCAGAGTGGTCGTTTTGAAATGGAAAAATCTGCTGATATCTCACCCTTGCTTAAAATCCTTAATAACTCAGGATAAAGCATTCATATAACCCTTTAGGGTTTTGCATAACTGAGCAGCTGTAATTTTTGGAAAACCACCCTCATCTCAGGAGAGTCCCCACTACTGCACTGCTTAGCCCCTCTCTCCACTCTACCAAGGACCATGTGCACTGGTTTTTCTTCAACTACTTGAACAATCCATGAGACCTCAAGCCTCAAGACCTTCCTTCATGCTTTCTCTTGGCTTGGAACCCTTAGCCTAACTGGTTGTATGACTGATTCTTACTTATCTTTCACATCTCAGCTTGAGTATCTGTTACTTGGGAAGACCCTCCCTGACCTTTCTATCTAAATAGAGCCCCTCTGCTATGCTCTCTCATATAATCCTGTACTTCTTAGAGGACAGGGACTGTGTTATTTTGCTCAAAACTGGAACCCAAGGCTAAATATAGTGTCTGATCTGTAATAGATGCCCAACAACTATCTATTGAATAAATGAAGGTCCTATTTCATCAAATCTAAGACCCCACCAATGATAAGATGCATTCCTAATGTAAAAAAACAATGTGCATGTCAAAATTGACTAAATACATTAGATCATTATTATATACATTGTTCTCACCCATACCTCTGACTTTTTTTTAACGTCTCTGCATTTTTCCCTTTTCTTCTAATTACTAAACCTTTGTCAAAAAGAAACTTTTATAGCCTTTCTTGAATAAGGCAGAACTTTAAAAATACAACAACCCATTTTGAAAACTCAGTTTCAGTGTTATAACCTCCAAGAAGCCTTCCTTGACCACCATGTTAAGGCAGGGGCTCCTGCTTGGACCGACAACAATAACTTGTTTTTCTCTCTATCTATGCACTTGCCATATTCCATTATTATTATCTTTTCACATGCCCATCTCTTTAACTAGATTGTGACCTCCTTGAGGACAAGATCTGTGATTTATCCCCTGGCATCACCTCCATACCTGGCCCAGTTGTTAGCAGATAGATGCTCAAGAGATGTCTGTTGAGTGAATAAATAAATGAAGAGATGAGTCTTTAGGAGCCACAGAGCTTCCACAGATTTGAAATGTGAAGAAATGTTATACAGAAAACCAGTCAAGACAGAAGACACAGAAGAGACTTGAAAATAATTTAATTAGCTACAAACTATAAGCATGAGTGCACCAAGGTAACCCAGTCATCCACTCTTCAAAATACAAGCTGGTTTGCCCAAACAAAACAGCATTTCTCAATTAGAGGTTACTTTATTTTTTTTTAAAGATTTTATTTATTTATTTAACAGAGAGAGAGAGAGAGAGAACAAGTAGGCAGAGAGGCAGGCAGAGGGAGAGGGAGAAGCAGGCTCCCCGCTGAGCAGGGAGCCCGATGCGGGGCTCCATCCCAGGACCTGGGATCATGACCTGAGCCAAAGGCAGACGCTTAACTGACTGAGCCACCCAGGCACCCCAAAGCAAAGTTTACTGAGCAACAGTTAAGTTTATTGAATGATAGAGTACAAAGCTCCCAAAGAGGGAGGGGACCTGAGAGGGTTGCCCTATAAGAGGTTACTTTAAAAATGAAGGACAGAACTTGCACATTTATATCTTATGTGCTACCTATCCCTCCGGCCTGTAGCTTGAGTAAGACTTTTGATCAACAGAATCCCCATAAAAATGTTCAAACAAAACCTACAATTTCCACTTTGTAGCATTAATATTTTTAAATGCAAATACAACAGGTTAGGCTATAAAGCTGCAGTGTTCATTTGATATATAGGAAGCACAACTAAAAGGATGCTAAGTGCCAACGAGACAGTGGCCCCAGAGTTACCCTGGAAGAAGAGGAGAGCTGCAGAAGTGATGCTGGACCCAAGGAGCTGCTGGCCATGCTTGAACCTTCAGCATGGGGAGACAAGGACTAGAGAACCAAGAAGCAGAAATATTTAGATACTGAGGTTATGAAGCACTGACTCAACAATTCCCAAATTTCTGGAAAGACCAATAGTACACTCTTTTCCCTCAAGTGTGACAGCCCTAAGGTGCAAAATGGTATGACTGAATTATTAAAGTGGAATCATCTCAAATGACTGGTTGTGGGTTCTCAATAGGACGGAGAGGAACTGATAGGACAAAAGGAGTAACAAAAAGATCAAAATCAACTGTCACTCAATTTTAGGTAGAAAACTCTCACAGTTCATGAAATAAAAGACATTTGTTTTTGAGCAAAAGTTACTTCAACTGTATATGCTGAGAGAATATCTTGAAAGACAAATGCAGCACAAGCAAGCCGAGGTTCCAAAAGAACTTGTCCCTCAGCCTTCTCCTCAGATGTCAAGCTGGTGTCCCAGCACTGACTTGACCACACCCTTCTAGAAGACCAACATGAATCTCCCTGGAAATAAGAATTTCATTCTGTCTGTGATGAGTGAGGAAGGATATTATTTCCTTCTCCCCCTCTATAACCAAGGCTTCTCATTAAAAAAAAAAAAAAAATCCGTGAGTTTAATACATAAAAAACTAAAATTTTTAAATATTGCAAAATCATCACACCTAAAATTGCTTTCATTTTTATTATCATACAGAGTTAATTTTCCCTTTCTAATTTTTTTCCAGTATTCTGTGCAGCTAACTCACTGCACAGCCTTCATAAAAGCTACTCTAAATTTACTTTATTTTCAATCTATATCTCAGATAATCGGCTTCTTCTATTACTGCCCACTGTGTAAAAGTACTTCTCTTTATTTGACTTATAACTACTTCTTTGAGCTTCAAAAGATGCTTCTGAGTTATCTATGTAATAAGACCATGTTGCCCTCTTCACGTGCTTCATAGCTTTCTGAGATTCCACCAGATAAAAAATTCATTCTTTATCCTTCCAGATTGAAAGGTCCAATCTTTTTTTGAACAGTGCCTCACATCATCCTACTCATTCTAACTTATTTTAATCTCTTTGAATTTCAATTTTCTCACTTACAAAGCAAAGCAATTAGGCAGTGTAGAATCCAGAGTCAAGATTAAGAGCATGGGCTCTGGAGTCAACAGACCCAGTGGTTCTAACACTTTCCAACAGTGTGACCTTGAGAAAATTATCCAACTTCCTTTCTCAGGATCCTTATTATGAAACTGGTTATTAATAATACATATGTCAACAGTCAATGGTACTGTAATTGTGCTGTATAGTGACAGATGGTAGCTATAGTTGTGGTGAGCAGGCATAACGTGTAGACTTGTAGAATCACCATGTTGTACACCTGACACCAATAATGTAATACTGTGTTTCAACTATACTTCAATAAAAATAATATGTACATCAGAGAGTTGTTACACAGATAAATGAGATAAAGTTTAAAGACCATTACGTTGTGTTGTCACTGCCCCTACCGCATGTTGGTTTTTTTTTTTAAGATTTTATTTATTTATTTGACAGAGGGAGACACAGTGAGAGAGGCAACACAAGCAGGGGGAGTGGGAGAGGGAGAAGCAGGTTTCCCGCGGAGCAGGGAGCCCGATGCGGGGCTCGATCCTAGGACCCTGGGATCATGACCTGAGCTGAAGGCAGATGCTTAACGACTGAGCCACCCAGGCGCCCCCCTACCGCATGTTTCTAATAGTCTAGTTCTAATTGGCAGTTCTTTAAACATAATCAAAAGCACATCTTGTACAACTTCTGCTTGTGATTAGTTCTTCTCCCCTCCCCCAATTATGCATATACTACTATCATTCACATTTTGTCTGTAGACAGGATTTATCTAATATACACATAACTGCTCCAAAATGTCATTCATATTAGACCATGGGGTTGCACTGGAGGGACTGGGAGTCAATTTTCCCTAAGAGCAGGGGCTGGGAGCGCAGTTCAGCTGGTATTGCCTCATGAATGATGGGAGCTACAGGGGAGATTCTTGCCCTGGAAATAAGAGCCTTGGGAGTAAGGAGCGGGGAGAGGGTAGGAGAAAGGGGGTGGGTGGACCCTGTAGGGTACCAACCCTGAGAGGGCAAATGAGCAGGACACATTGCAGGCTGGTTGAGTCACCTAAGGAAAAGAACACTGTTGGCCTGCTTCCGAACGGAAGTGTTTACTCCGGGGCTCCAGGCTGCCTCCTTATTCCATCAGCCCCTCCCTTTTTTTTAAAGTATCCTTTTAGCTGACTTTTAGCTGGAAAAAGCAGCTATAAAAGGTGACCTAGGCCCTGTATTTGGAAGAAAGGCTAGCCCAAAAGATGTTTACAGAAAACTTAAAAACTTCTGGGTGGCAAAATACATCATAAACAAAGTCAAAATACAAACTGGCCAAAAAAATAAAATAAAATCTGTAACAAACTAATTCCCTTAATGTATAAAGAACTCCTACAAATTAAATAAGAAAAAGATAAACAACCCAGTAGCAAAACAGGCAAAAGAAAAAAATAGGTAAACCACCAAAGCACCACTAAAAAATTAAACATAAGAAAAGATGTCTAATCTCATTAATACTTTAAAAAAATACAAATTTAAAACACAATTTAAAATTTCGTGTATTGAATTTGAAAAGACTGAAAGGGTTGATAATAATATGGGTTGGGAAGAAAGTAGACAATCAGGTGTTTTCATATATTGGTGATAAGATAAATAGGCACAACGTTTTTAGACAGAAATTTGATAATTTCTTTTACAATATGAAATATATATTTCAGGGATGCATACCAAACTAGGAGGAAGGCAGACTTTTGATCTTGTACTTTGTGTATTTCTCTATTTTACTTTTATAAGTGCTACTTTTTCGATAAAACCAAAAGTTTAAAAAATATGCATATCCATGACTCAGAAAATCTATATCTAGAATTTTTCCCATGAGATTCTAAAAAATACAAATAATTCTTTCCAAAGTTGTTCTGCAGCATTGTTTGTAAAAGTGAAAATTTAGAAATGACACAAAGGTTAGCATACACCTATATTAATAAAAAGATTAATAAAACTATAGTAATATATAATTAACAGATTAAGGTACACCTTTACAATGGCAATACTAAAAAAGAATAAAGTAGGTCTATATGTACTGACATGGAAAGATTCTGTTAATTGAAAAAAGGCAAGTTGCGAAACAGCATCATTTTGTGATTCTATTTGTCCAATATATATTCACATATCCATATAATAGAGCAGCCTGACAGTCACCGATGTGCATTTAGGGTTTACACTCTTTGTGAACAATGCTGAAAGTCTACAGCATCGGAGCATTGATCTTTTTGCCCAGTCATGAATGAGTGACAGCCTTTGTGGAGACCTCTCTGGGGAAGGGAGACCAGAGCTGGACTGCAGGCCTAAGCCTGCCCTGGACTCTATCCCAGTGTGGCTTTGCTTTTCCCCATTAGCCTGTGTGCGCCCTCCTGAAGAGATATAAAACTTTCTTTGCAGGAGAGAGCTGCGAGAGAAAGCCACCTGTTCGCGCCCGTGATGGAAGTGAAGCTTACGCAGAGGTCTCTGAAAGAGACTGTTCTAACCACACGCTGTCTCCTCTACCCTGGTCCCCACAGCCCTGCCCAGCCTTGCTCTACAGAGGCGTAGCCCCGGCCCTCCACTCCCCCACACTCCCTCCTGGCTTTTTTGTGGTCCAGCTCCATGGGCCTTTTTCAGTTCTTTAAAGATGCCAGACTCTCTCCACCACAAGACTTCTCACAATCTGTGCCCTCTGCTTGGAATTCTCCTCCCCTCCCCTCCCCTCCTTAACAACTAGGCTTCTTTCAAACCTCAACTTGGCCTTCTTCTGCAAAGTGTCCCTGATTGATCAGCTCCCACTGCTCTGTGTGCCTTTACAGCACTGAGAACCTCCCCTTCCGGGGCTCGGCACAGTTAGGACGTGACATTTTTCTCTCTCCTCCCAGTAAGCTCCATCCCGTCTATTTCTGTGTATTGTTTCATCTCTATCATCCAGAACAGCCTGGCATATGAATGAATGGTACGTGCATGTCTGTATGGATAATTATGGATAATACATTAAGCACACTATATAAAAAGCTACCACCAGCAATGAACAAGTGGAATTTGAAATTATAAATGCAAAACCATTTACTTAAAAAAAAAACCAAAATGAAATACTGAGGTATAAATCTAACAAAACATGCACAAGATGGTGAATAAAATCAAAGAAGAACTAAATAGGTAGAGAGGTATTCCATGTTCATGATTAGGAAGACTCAAAATTGTCAGGATGCCAGTTCTTCCCAACTTGATCTACAGATTTAATGCAATTCCAATCAAAAGCCCAGCAAATTATTTTATGGATATCGACAAACTGATTCTAAAGTTTATATGGAGAGGCAAAAGACCCATGACAGCCAACACAATCTTGAAGAACAAAGTTGGAGGATTGACACTATCTGACTTCAAGACTTACTATAAAGCTATAGTTATCAAGACAGTGTGATATTGGTAAAAGAATAAACAAATAAATCAATGGGACAGAACAGAGAAGCCAGAAATAGATCCACATAAATACACTCAACTGATCTTTGACAAAGAACAAGACAGTGGTAATACAATAGAGCCAAAATAGTCTTTTCAATAAATGATACTAGAATAACTGGACATCCACATGCAAAAAAAACAAAAACAAAAACAAACAAAACCCCCCAAAAAACAGAATCCAGACACAGACCTTACACCTCCAGAATAATAAACTCAATTGGATCACAGATCTAAAATGTAAAGCACAAAACTATAAAACTCTTGGAAGGTAACACAGAAGAAAATCTAGATGACTTTGGGTATGGTGATATCTTTTTAGATACAATACCAAAGGCATGACCCATGAAAGAAATAATTGATAAGCTGGACTTCATTAGAATTAAAAACTTCTGCTTTGTGAAAGACAATGTCAACAGAATAAGAAGACAAGTAGAACTGGGAGAA